GTAACGACCTTTCGCGAACTCGTATCGTCTGCATTAGCTGTGCAATGTGATGAATGAATGTAAGAAGAGTTAGTCGTGGAGATAAGAGAGACATTAGGGGGTGTAGGAAGGATTTGATTTTGACCAATTTGGTCTCGCGTGCTGTTATGGGTATGAGGGCGGTTGTCACTTCCCGGCTGCCCACACCGTGGAAGGTTGTTTCTTGAGGAACCTGAAAAGGAAAATAGATTAGTGTTGGTGCGTGACCGCAGAGTCCAAGGGACAACTGCTTGAGGCCAGTCACGCACGGCCTTTTTATGAAAGGTATTTAGAGGATTAGCTCCGTTCTTAAAGGCCCTTAGTGGGCACCCTTACCCAAGGAGACGGAAATCCGTGAGGTAGGGGAGGTGTGACATTTTTAGGGCCGACCTTTTCTAACCCTTCCTTCCTTGTGAGAAGGCAGCATCGCTGCAGATGCTGGTTGTCTGAGGGAAACACCTTACTGCTGTCACACCCCTCTGCAGTCAGCAGTACGACTTCGCCCTCAGACCTTGGGTAGCTGCTTTTAGTCTCATCGTTCTCCAATCGACCTGTCTGGCATGGTAGGACCTGCAGGAACATATGTTCCAACCAGTATAGCTCGGTTGGATCATCACGATAGGCAAGCCCGACCACCACGTCAAGGTAGCAGCCACGGTCGGGTACATCAATATAATAAGATAATAATGTCTATCAATTTGTAGGTCATTTACAACAAAGAAGGTTTACAGACACGTCAGGTTAGATCACGTGGAGGGCGCTTAAATCACAATCTGATTGGTTAGTTATGGCATAACTACAATTAGTTATAAAATAACTAACACTGCCGCCGAAGCGGTCACCACGTCTAGGCCCCGTTGCCGTCGCGCTCGAATAATCGACCTCTTCCAGTAGGCATAGGTTTCGTATATCCCGGATGATTTCTTCGGTTGCTGTCTTTAATCGCACTGTTCTGACTTGTCCATCCGGACCATAAGTGACCTCTCTAACTATAGCTTTCGCCCATAGATATCTCGGCAAGCCAGTATTGTTTACTAACACTGAGTCTCCATGTTGTGGATTCCTTCTCATTGACTTTATGATATGTTTCCATATACCGCCTCCAGGATCAAAGATTAATGCTATAAACGACAAAATATTCCTTCTGGTTAGGTTTCCAGGAAACTCATGAACTCTGAGAAATGATTCATCCGCTCGGATATTCTGCTCCATTCCCAGCGTTCGTTTACTCATCTCGTTGGATCCGCATAGGGTTATGTTTCCTTCTGTATGGTCTTCCTCATTAATTGCACCTATTCTCAAAGTTCGTGAGTCAACTAGAGCAGCAGCCATTTGTAACCAAATGAGAGTATTAATCAACAGTCTGTATTTATACACTAAACGCACTACTATCTGTGACCTACAGCTCCAAATTATTCCACTTCTGTTTATTAACGTCGGCAACATGAGTTCGGCAGTGCTGTCGAATGATTGGTATTTATCCTTCTTCACCAGTAACTGGGTCAACTTCCGCCAAAGTTAACGCTTCATTCCGTTTATCTTCAGCTACTTCCTTAGCAGAATCTTCTAGATTTTTAAAATCCTTACAGTCTATCTGAGAAGCTGTAACTACTTTAGCCAATGTAGTTAAATTAAATCCTACAATACTTATTCTATCACCTGGTGTACAATGTAAAAATTGGTGTGGTGGTTTACAATAAACACTCTCTTAATTCTTTTATATATTTTTAATACTAAATGGTTAGTGAATTAAAGGATAGGTTCTTTTTCTCTGAGATAACATAAAATCATAAGTCAGTTGTATGCTACGTATTTGATCAGTAATCGTATGTAGTTTAATGAAAACTACCTGGCTGATACAACTTAAACAGATTTACGGATTGAACTAACTCACTTATATTGTCATTAATACAGCAAAACTGTTACTCGATGACTAACAGTGATGACAAAGGATGGCTGTAGGAAAAGAAGCTGATAAACTGGAACCTCTACTTGAACATAAGTTTAGTCAGTCAATCGGTTACAAAGTAAGACTTCGTATGTACGTACGGAGAGCAGTTCAAGTTTCCATACCACATTAGCATAGAGATATAATTGTCGATTCAGATCCCATAGTAGCAGTGGTAGTAAAAGTAATAGAAGTAATCTCGGAGATTAGGGTTCAAAGATGTTATTCAAGAAGTATAATTCAGTGAGGTAAATTTAGAGAGACAAAGGTAGAGGTGATGAGGAATTAAGGTTAGAATTTCATAGAACACAAAGAATAAATGCAACGGCGCCATTGCAAACGATTTTAAGTAATGTCACTCAGGGTCTCTAACCATCGATTACTATTATCTCGCGGACTCCAACCAGGTAGTCCACACCTACCTACATAACTCAGTCTACTTGTCAATGACTTCATGGATTTCTCCAAACCTATTCCTAAACCGCAAAATATAGCTCGACAAGGCAGTCGGTGGTTAGGCATACGCAACACATGTCCCAACCACCTCAACTGATGACAATTCAATACTCAATCTATTGATGTGCCATCCTTACCTAGTACTCGATTCCTAACGACAACATTGCTTACTTGGCTGTCCCACGATATACGAGCAATGCTTTGGAGACCCCTATGATCGAAAACCAATAACCGACGAATATATTCTACTCTCACTGGCCATGTTTCACAGCCATAAAGTAGGACGGAGCGAACTACTGCGCAGTACACTCGTCCTTTAGTCAACAAACGGATATCTCGCCTGGGCCATAAGTGACGCACGTTGGCAAACGCCACTCGAGCTTTCTGTATCCATGCTAAGATTTGGTAAACTATCATGTGATTTGAATTGACAATTTCATCTGCATGTGTGGTAACATGGTATGGCAACTTGCACTGATGTATGTACGTACTACGTTCTACGTTGTAACTGACTTTACTGAATAATTGTACAAATTTATGAACTACACATTAAAACACATCTAATTAAAACATCTAAGCTAACTTACAACACCAGGAAAAAGACGTTTTAAATTTTCAATAAGTTCTTGTTTTTTCGCTGCACGTGATGATTCATGTCGTTCAACTTTAGCTTCACCCAACTGACAAACAACCGTTTCTAATTCAGCATTAATTTCATCAATACGTCTAGTGGCTAATTCCACTTCTTCACGTATAGATTTTTCTGTTTCACGTTGTTCTGTGATAGCACGATTACTTGAACTAAATAAAATATATAGAAATGTGAAATGATTGATTATTATTAGTGACATGTATGCAAACATTTTACAACAAACAGCAAGAACGTTTAATCTGAATCTGTTGATGCAAAAGATATTGTAGATTAGTGGGTTTGTAGTGAAGGAGAACACAGGTGAGGGCAACCGAATTGTATTCATCACAAATTACAGAGTTAATTGGTAAAATAGGAAAACCATATCGTAAATCGTTAATTTGCAAAATATCAATCCATTGTCTGACATTTCACTGTTCATGCGTTTCATACAAATTCAATTGTGTGCCCACTCTTCCTTTCTTGATCTTCCTCCATCTTCTGCTGCCAGACATTACGTTTACACCCGCGTCATATACTACTTATAAGTAGCGCGGACCACAGGTTGTTAGTTAAGAGTTTGCACACTTGGCTTATTTTGTGTACAACGTGCGTAATGATGCTACTTAAGTAAATATTCAGATAGCAGATGGACGCAGTTATAACATGTAACCTAACGGTTAAAAGTCCAGAATTCTTTTCAATGATAAAGCCATCCTTACTGATAAATGTAAGAAAAACCCAGGAAATATGTACTAAACATGCAACGGGATAACGAGTTGAATAATGTTTTTTAGAGTACTATCCTAAATGATTAAATTTGACCAGATAATCAACAAATCCTTTTAGTTTAAAAGAATATTTCAGTTACTCTCAGAAAAATTGTTTTGCAAAGATGCTAACTAGTATAATGTCTCATTAAACATCATTTTCATCAATTGAGATGGTTGGGACATCTGCTACGTATGCCTAACCACTCCGCCTGGAGCCCCGCCGGTGCTATTGTCGGTCCCAAAGCGGAATAAAGGGGGAGGGCTAAACTGGGGTTGGAGACACAAGCCCGTAGAAAACTAACTATTTAAAAAGACGCTAACCAGAAAAGATAATTCAAGCCATTTAACCTCTTCCTTGGGAGTTACAAAGTCTTCATTTAAAAGAGTTATGACGTCTTATTAGGAAATCCGAGTTTTTTCGGAAGTCACGAGGCCGATGCCTCTTCTGCCAATCAGAGCCCTTCCACGGTGTGGGTAACCGGGAAGTAACATCCCCCCTCATACCCGTAAAAACACACGAGACCAAATCGACCACAACCAAATCCCTTCTACACCTCCTAATAAGTTTCCTATCTCCACAACCAGTGACTGCTCTGATGAGTGACGTTTTGTGATGTAGGAGTAGGTTGGAAGAAAGCTAGGAGTGGCTAAACCAAAATATGGCACAAATCTATGAAGCAACTGACAACTGCATTGAGCCATGTTAGTAAGTGTACACTATCTGGTTGCGCCCTGTGATATGATAGTAACTGATGGTTAAGGACCTTAAATGACATGGCTAAAAATCGTTTGGGATAGCATAGGCGCATCTATTCTTTGTGTTCTCTCAAACTCTAGTCTTCTAAATTCTTCATCACCTTTTTCTATCGCATTTTAAATTTATTTCACTGCATTATACTACTTGGATAACATTTTCGAACCGTAGTCTTTCCGATTACTTCTACTACATCCACCACTGTGGGATTTAAATCGAGAACTGCATTTCTATGCTCATGTGGTATGGTAATTTGAACTGATGTACGTACGTACGAAGTTCTATGTTATTGCTGACTGAGGCATCATTTCATGTGAAATCAATTTGAGCGCACATAGCCGAACCGATGCTAAAGCTAATAAACTGTAAAACTTAAGTGTGTAAAGTACCAGCTTTTCAAGAATCAAACAAGCCTCGGATGAACTTTGAACCATATTACCTTTGTAGTATACGACGAATTCAACACCAGTTAGAGCAAATATATTTGGAGAAGACACTGTTTATTTGCAAAATATATACACACATCTATTTGCAGTCCAAGCAGCATATTGACTGTCTTTCACATTTCTTCTGGTCTTTAGTATACACTGATTACGCCATGCATTCCGATCGCCTAACCCTCTTCTCTTTGGTAGCAACATCTAATCGACGCTTCTCCGCATACTACTTACGCCACTGTAAGTAGCATCCACTACACGTTTAAAATACTGTACAATAGAGTTCGATGTAACTAGCATCCAATCCCATTTAGTCAATTTAAACTATGGGACTCGCAATAGCTTAAAATTAATCATATATACAATCAACTTACTCAATATATTCTAATAATTTCTGAAGACGTTTTTTATTTTCATTTAGCTCAGTTTCTTTACGTTTTAAAGAACTTTCAATTTCATTTTTTCTTCGATACAATGCATCATATAAATCTTTTTGTTCATTATATTCACGATTTAAATTGTCTAACACAGCCGACAAGTGAGATGTTCTTTCAGCTACTTTTTGTTTCAAACGATGATATTCTGACAACTGATATTTCATAAAAAAAAAGAAAATGAACACAAAAGAAAAAACAGTGAGAATAATTGTTGGCTAAAATAGTGTGGTGTGTGCTACTTATACACGAACGATATAAGTAGTATAAGAAGGGACGTGAAAGAAGAAGTCTCACGGTCACAAGAGGAAAACGGAAAGCAAATGGAGCAAAAGCAAGAAGTAAATGGAGTAGTCCCAACAGGAAGGAAAGGAAGCAACAGCAGGAATGGAAGGATGGAGTGTTGGAAGTCACGACTCAAAGATGGTGTGCAAATAGAGTGGTGTTCAATGTAATGTTGTTGTTTCTAATTGACTAAGAGTGTAAATTTGCATAATACAATCTTCAGCGCCTGCCTCAGTCTTCTCAATAGTAGCAGACAGAATGTCTGCTTCTAGTTCTCACGTTATTAACAAAGATTAAACAATGTAACAGGACAATTTTTTAATGGAACAGAATTTCGATTTCAGGCAGCTATCACACGTGAAAGTCGTTATGAGTTTTCGTTTCTATGGTATGGGATTGTTACAGATAATGGAAATGGTGAGTTCTATCAGACTAGGATATCTTGACTGGTTGACAAATGAGGAAAGTACCTAAATGTTGAGTTAAACATGTTGATACTCAAGTATTTTCAGCATCTACTGACTTTACTGAGTCATGTTGGTAGATGTAGACTACCTGGTTGTGGTTCGCGAGACGATAGTCACCAGTGGTTAGAGACCTTGAATGACATGGCTCAGAATCGTTTGTAATGGCGCATGTGCATCCATTATTGGTGTTCTCTCATTGGTGTTCCTCATAATCTCTACTTTTCTCCTTCTAAATTTATCTAACTGAATTATACTTCTCGAGTCATATCTTTACTCCCTAATCTTCTCCATTACTGCTAATCCTTCTATTATTGCTATCACTCTTGGATTTGAACTGACAGTTGCGTCTCTCTGCTGATGGGACATGGCAACCTGAACTGATGTACTTGTGTACGAAGTTCTGCGTTGTATCTGTCTGTCTGTCTGACTTTACTCTCACGGTGCATAACTTGGCATTGTAGATGATCAATTTTCAACCAGTAGATCATGAAGTACAAACTGACGATAGTCACCGATGGTTAGGGACCTTGAAATGACATGGCTCAAATCTGTTTGCAATGGCGCATGTGCATCGATTCTTTGTGTTCTCCAAAATTATAATCTGAACTTCACATGACCTTCATCTTTCTCTCCTAAAATTTATTTCACTAGATTATACTACTATCTGAAAAACATCTTCAAACCCTAATCTTTCTGATTGCTACTTATACTTCTACTACCCATACCATTATGGGATTTGAATCGACAGTTGTATCTCTGTGTTAATTTGGTATGGCAACTTGAACTGATGTACGTACGTACAAAGTTCTACATGGTTGCTAACTGACTGACTGACTGATAATCAATTAGGACTCCCCGATTGTTTCAGACAAAAATTATACAAATATGATTAAAGCACTGAAAACTGAATGCAAACGGATTTTATGATGATCAACTGTTTCCAATAAACAATTGATTATAATAGCGACTAAACACTGATGTATATATATATATGTATATAAAGAGGAATTCTTAACAAACCTGAGTTTCTTCTAATTCTAGATCACGACCTTGTTCAAGTGATTTCTTCGATTGTTGTTGTTCATAATCTCGTTGTATATCTGATATCTTTTCATATTCTGCTTCTAACTGATCAATTTCTTGTAAATGTGTACTATGCAACTGTCTAGCATTCTCCAAAGATTTTCTACAATTCAAAAAGAAAATTAAGATTAGGATGACCGTAGCTGCTACCCTGACGTAGTAGTGGTCGGGCTTGCCTATCGTCATGACCCAATCGAGCTATACTGGCTGGAACATATGTTCCTGAAGGTTCTACTATACCAGGCAGGTCGATTGGAGAACGATAAGACTAAAAGCAACTACTCAAGGTCTGAGGGCGAAGTCGTATTGCTGACTGCAGAGGAGTGTGACAGCAGTAAGGTGTTTCCCTCAGACAACCAGCATCTGCAGTGATGTTGCCTTCTCACAAGGAAGGAAGGGTTAGAAAAGGTCGGCCCTAAAAATGTCACACCTCCCTTACCTCACGGATTTCCGTCTCCTTGGGTAAGGGTGCCCACTAAGGGCTTTCAAGAGCGGAGCTAATCCTCAAAAAACCTTTAACAAAAAGGCCGTGCGTGACCGGCCTCAAGCAGTTGTCCCTTGGGCTCTGCGGTCACGCACCAACACTAATCTATCTTCCTTTTCAGGTCCCTCCAGAAACAACCTTCCACGGTGTGGGCAGCCGGGAAGTGACAACCGCCCTCATACCCGTAACAGCACGAGAAACCAAATTAGGATGAAATCAATACACAAAAAAATTTCATCTTACTTAGACTCCTTATGCTTTTCGCTAACATGTCGCAACAGTTGAGAAACTTTGATAAATTCAGGTTTTCTCTTTCCGATTTTTTGCTCCTAAAAGCGAAAAACGGCAATAAACACACATGGAAAACAACCACAACATACACATTTTTTGATTTCTTGTTCTAAAGATGACTGATCCCGATTGATTTTGCCTAATTCACGACGTTTTTCTTTCATTTCTTCTTCAATCAACTGACGCTGTTCATGTTCAGCAGCAACTGCCTCTTCTCTTTGTTTAAGCTCTTCACGGACATGTCTAATTTCTAAATCATTGTAGTAAAGTTTGAATAGATGAAGTTCCAATCGTTTCTTTGTCTAGTGATAATAAGAAAAAAAATACTCAGTTAAACTATCCTAGCGGTGAACTATGGTGTTATTCATAGCAGTAGTCAAACAAATTTCGTTTTCATAAAACATGAGTTCAATGAATCTCATTAGCTGAAAAGGACTGAAGCTTAAATGCTGAGTAGATGATGAAACACCCGCAGTAAGGAAGCAAAACGACACTAAAGACAGGAGCAGTTAACTGTAGCAGGGGTCTAGAAAGGAAACCAATTATGATAATAAATATACGAGATGGATACAAAGTGTGTGATCAGTAAAATCATATTTGGGAATGACTTAAAACAAACAGCGCAACTTAAATCTGATTCAACACAACTTGACATTCTAACACAGGTTTAAGTTACTCAAAAGTTAGAAAAAAATAGTGAAAGTAAACTAAAAGGAATCGTGACAAATTCACCGAGACTGGAGCTAATTAACCAAAACTAGTTTTCTTCTGAACCCGCCCACATTGCTCATAAAAATTTACTAGTGCCATTTGAAATTAGTGTTGAGCTCTGAAACTTAAAGGAAAGTCTTAATGACTTATTGCCAAACTTCGATTAAACTGTATTTGGTCAAGTAGAGTAACTAAAATAACTGTCAGTTTCATATCAATAGACCTAGATCTCTAACTGGAAGCATTAGTGATCCTCTGATACCAGATCAGGTAGCCCTTAGATTACACTATTAATTAGGGAATTATACATTTTAGGCAAGACTTAATTTCACATAGGAATACATTAGATTATATCCAACCAACAAAATTTTTAAAACTAACCAATTCACTTTGAAGCTTTTTGTATCTTTCAGCTTCATCGATTTCTATTTTCGCTTCTTTACGTTCAGCAACAATACCTTTCTTTTTATTCAAATTAAAAGTTGCATTCTCCTCTAACTTTTGCATTTCCATTCTTGACATATCGTATTCTTCTTTTAATTCAGCAGATCTAAAAAATAGTCAATATAAGAAAATTTGTTGACCTACTTGCTAATTTCTTCAAACATTTGACAACGTTCACGTGCATTTTTCATAGCTATACTTTCTACAGCACCTTGAAAAACGAGAAAATTTTTCACTTTCATAAATATATGAATTTGTTCAAGGGCAGCAGCATATTCATCAACACGAACAGACTTTAAATAAAAGATTGAGCAAAAATTCAGGAACATACGACACCATTTATTCGGTACTCTGATGTATTACCATGAATAACACGACTAAAACGTTTTTCTTCCCCGTCAGGCATTTCATAAACTGCAGTTACCGATGCTGATTTCGCAACAGGTTTTCCAACTACTGAACCATGGATTAAATCCTTGAATACAATGAATTGAGTTAGTGAAATACTTACATTAAGCCGACGAACACGTAAATGTCGAGTATTTTCTCCAAGAACAAAACTTATGGCATCCATTAAATTCGACTTCCCTAAGAAAATGTAATGCAGAAAATAAAAATTGACTAACTGGATAGTGTTTAAAGGAAAATATAAATTAGATCTGTGTATACAGAATATATCAAAAGAAAAGCAAAGTTTATTGGTAGATAGTAAAACTGTTTGATATCTGCGAAAAGAGAGGAATTATTTGTGAGAGGAATCTTGTACGTAATAAATTTGACAGCTAGTGATTTCCAAGGAACTTATTCATAAGAAACAAATATTGGTATGATTGATGGATGAGTACAGTAGTATTATATGGTGGGTCGGTTGTCAGTCACGGAAAAGGTAAAACAGGGGATTAACATCACTAAGCCCAGAGCCTACTGCAATGAAGCGTTAATTTTAATGTTTTCACTTACTAAGACCCCCTTTTTGAGCACAACGAGAGAACGTTTCGAAACTGGAAATACAAATATACCAGTACATAAGATTACTAGTTTTGTTGCCGTTTACGCCCAACCTTAGGGGACTGGAATAACAACGCACTGAGCTGACTGAATCGATGCACGTCTTAGCTCCAATTACACGCATGTAATCTTTCCAGCCACACTAACTGCGTTCTGGATACACGAACCACCATATCCGAATACTCATTATGCGGGCAGTAAATGGATTTATGTGGGATATATCAGGCGTCGTGAAAGAATTTACATTAGCTACAATATCACATGATAGGAATATACGCTCACAAGCTAGATCACAAATTAATCTTCAGGGGAATAATCCACATGGCCTGAACCATAAAAGTAAACCTTGTTGCTTTTATGTGAACGCGAGAAACTAGGAATATAAACTTGAGTAACAGAGATTTTAGACGTATGTCAACTAAAGACACTAGTCATAAAAAATAGCTATATTTAACATTTATAGACACACCAATAAGGCTTCTGAAATTCAGCACTTACCTGATCCATTTGGCCCAATGATGGCAGTGAAAACACTGAAAGGGCCAATAACCTGCTTTCCTTTGTAAGATTTGTAGTTTTCTAGCTCAATAAACTTTAAGCGTCCACAGTTCTCGTCCATAATTTAAAACAAGCACATATTTGAAGGGCGACCTTCAGGTCAAGCTTACAATGACATTGTGACCTAGATTCAAATCCGAATCAGTGTTATGATGTAACTAGTCTGTAAAATCGTGTACCAAACCATTTCAGGCCTTTTTCAATTCCTTAATTTCTCATGACTGAGTCAAATTATTGCTCAAGCATCTATTCACTTGGACGTTTGTCAGACCCGAAGTTATAGTCAAACTCATATTCAATGCTATCACAGCTGTTTGGATTTGTGAAGTACATTACTACCACTTTTCATACTTTGGTTTCTGTCAGTTGAATATCTTTCGTTGGTATGTAATCCGTGTATTTACCTCCTTCTCTTGACAAACGTTTGCTAATCTTTTGGCGGTAGTTAAAGCAACAGCTTTGGTACAATTTTACCGAAGTAATTTTTACGTTTTCAGACTCGCTGTTCGACAGTTCTCAGTTTTTTCAACATCGCTCGGGTTCGGACGGCCATGTAAAGTCATCAGTACGGTAGACTATTGTGCCCTATCTCAGGTCGTCCTAGATGTAGAATGTTCTCCATTTGTTGCAGAATGCATCTTTACTAGAAGTGATAAGGTCACAAGTCGCAAAGCAGGAAGCAGAATGTTTTATGTTAAATCGGACTTTTATGTACTATAGAAGTGTATGGCAGTGGTA